GCCTGATGCAGGGTTCATGTTACAGATATTGTCACATGATGCAGATGAGAAATCAAAATCAATCCTTCACACAAACAAGTTATTACAATTTGGTTTGCTGCATGTTAGCTATAAGTAAATCTCTTTCTGCTTTGTTAGCATCTTTTAAGACACGCTATCTAAGCCCATGGCATTTAGCTGTAGAGAAGGAGTAAAACTGAAACCTAATAACTAATCTTAACCACATGAATTTTTGTAGGGAAATTCTTAATATATTCAGAAGATCCCTATGTCAATAACTATATTTACAGGTTTTATCTTAGCTTTTAAAATACTACTTTGATTTGCTTTTTTCTCTTCAGAAGAAGACACAGATATAAACTACTCTTGGGTAAAGGCTAGTGGTGTTGTTAATAATATTAAAAATACTCACATGAGTGTAAATCATTTCTGTTGAACTTTAAGCAGCAATATATGCGCTCATCTTTCAATATTTTGCCATTACTGCATTGGCAGTGCCCCATATGCAAGTCTGTCTACACTGAACACAAGAGATGTAGGAGAGCTGTGCATCTTTGTGCCAGGGAGGGCACTTTGCTGTCCCAGCTGTGCTCACACCAGCAGCGCCAGGACGCTGCAGCAGCCGGCAGAGCTGGGGCACAGGCTGTTCTCTGCAGGAGGCACAGAGCTGCTGCACCAAGGCACAGCTGCAGCTCAATCCACCAAAGCCCACATTAATAAAATATTGATATTTGGCTTTTTAAAAATGCAGAGCACTCTATTTAATGCAAGGACATCATCCCAGGAAAAGAAAACCCACATTAGGTTCCTTTCATGAGTCTTTGGTTTTTGTTTCAGCCCAAAATACAGATATCCTTAGTGATCATAATGAAAAACTGACAACAAAAAGAAGAATCAATTGTACAGAGCTTTGTTCTTATACGAGGATTGCAATATGATATCAGAGAATCCACTGCAAAAGGAGAAAAGAAATTTGGGAATAGTTAATGGATTGCTGCATACATTGCAAATTAAAACACAGTTTTGACATGTGCATTTGCACTGTTTTTCTTAGGAGATAACTGTTTTCATTCTTACAAAAATTACTGCTACCGAATCAAGCTACATTTACACAAGGTGTTTCAAGGCAAAGGCATCATGTGCATTTAGTTTTTCAGGATCTTGTCATTAGGGGAAAAAAAAAAACCAAAAAAACAAAAAGCTAATCCTCTTAAAACCTTCCCTGCATTTTTTTTTTCTTTTTAATTATAAAAATGTGATTTTTGCAAGACCTTGTGACTTTTCACTATCTGATGTAAGCACTTGCATTAATGCAATAAAGCCTTTGGCTCAAAGGGATCATGAGAGCATTTAAGCAAATGGGGGAGTTTTAAGAAATCTAAAGTAGTTTTCCTAAAAAGTAGGTTTAGATTTGGTGATAATATATAGGCACAGCCCCATAGCATGGTCTTGGCAGACTGACATAGAAAATAGGCTATTCCACCATTCCAGAAGAAACTAAAAATTCACTTACGTCCAGTTAATTCAAGGCATGTGACTTATAGAGCTGATAATTTGCATTTATGCAGTTCCTCTTGTTCTAAAAATCTCAGATGAAAAAATGCTAACAGTTTTTGAAAAAAAAAATCATATGAATTTTGACTGCTCCAAACTATCAAAAATACCTCAACAATCTTTTTTACATGACAGAGTAAAACCCAAGCTTCTCCCACATACCATAAAGAACATCAAAGAATTCCAGTGACTTGTTATTGAAATAGACTGATCTGCGTCTGTCTGACTCAGCCTCATACATGAGGTGTATTAATTATTCTGGAAATAATTTTGAATATTACATTCTTATTTATTATGAAACAGCTCCCTAGGGCTTGTTCTTTTGTGCTGCCTGGGTGTCCTGGGTGTGGGCCTGACACCTGACACCAAATCAGGGCAAGTACACCCAGTCCCAGTGATACTGGGGGAACAACCTTAATCTGGAGCCAGGACTATTGCCCCTTGACAATTCATCTATACAGACAAATAAAGCAGATTTCTTCTTAATTTGTATGTTCATTAGGAATGAGGAATTGAAGAATTCCTCAACCAAAGAAACCTTTTTTGATGTATTTATAGAAATGTACTGGGAATAGTATTTAACCCCCAAATATACAAAGAAGTTGAGACTGCATTTAACTCTTGAAATTATATGCCAAATTTTCCTGCACTTGTGTCTATGACTGAAGTGATTTCAGCAGAGGTTTACTTGTGTAACCATGCTGAATTTGGTTTATTATTCTACATTTGAAGCTAAGTAGTGCAAATTGCAAAATGAAATATATCCAGTAGATGTCATCATCCTGCATCCCATGTGCCTGATAATCCAGTTTAGATTTACCTTTTTTTAATTGAACTGAAATCAAAAGTAGGAGTCCTAACAGAAATAAGTTTTCTGAAAAACTTGTGTAAAACATACTAATTTGATGTGATACACCTTACTAACACTAGGATTTCTGGAATGTTTACAACCTGGAAGTGTTCATGCACAAAGTAATTTACAGATATCCATGACTGCACTCATATGCCCAAATAACATCTGCAAAATATGTCAGTAAATGCACGTATTTAAACCTGAAAATCCATTTGATAGGTTCCATTTAATCCACAAGTCCTTAAAGCAATATAAATATGTACTACAGCATCACCTCTGATCCTGAAGCATGTACTGCAAAAATACATTTAAGATCCTCTTTACAGATGAAAATATTAAATGAAGTTGAAAGGGCTTTGGGAGGTCGGGGAGTTCCATTTCCATAAATAGTGCTTTGAGTTGTTAATTTCTTGAAATTACACCTCATATAAATGAATATCTTCATATATGTTACTGGGATTTATCAAGTACTCTGATGTGCTTGATTTACATTGTTTTTCATTTCAAATCAAATACTGTTATTTACATTCAGCAGTTTTATATTTAGTTGAGGAGCAAAATGATTTAGGCAAGTAATTCAGCCATCTTCAAATGTTTTCACATTTTAAACCCTGACCTCTATTATTTGCTGTGGGGAGACTTACTAGGTCAGAGTAACGCCTCTCAGTATGTGATTAAAACGTGCACTTTGTCCATGTCCATGGATTTTGTAATACAATCCTTTAGCAATCTGGCAACATTTCTGGCTTTGTTAGCTGGGTCATTGCTTAGGAAAATTCCTGTGCAATACTGTTGTGGTCTGATCCAAATCCCTTCAGAAACAATAGAAAGGCTTCCAAGGGCTTAAGCCATGGACAAATGAGGTTCACGCAAAGGCTGAGCCCCAGCAGGTGAAGCAGAAGGCAGACACTGGTGGGGAATTGCAGCGTGGCAGATGCCAACAGGCTCACAAGCTCATCTCAGTTGTGTCCTGGAACATGTTTTAAATTCCCACAAGGGATGGGGTGGGAAATGTCCCAGTTTCAGATGAGCTAACATTGTTACACATTGCTTTCAACTTAGTAATCATTTCTTTATTTAGTACAAATGGTACAATCACAGAATGTTAAGGGGTTGGAATGGACCTTAAAAATCATATAGTGCCAGCCTGCCCTGCCATGGGCAGAGACACCTGCCACTAGACCAGGTTCCTCAGAGCGCCATCCAGCCTGGCTTTGAACACTGACAGGGTTGGGGCAGCCACAACCTCCCTGGGGAACCTGTTCCAGTGTCTCACCACCCTCACAGCTGAAAATTTCTTCTTAATGTATACCCTAAATTTTTCCTTCTTTAATTCATACCCATTATTCCTTGTCCTATCACTACAGCTCTGGATGAAAAATCAAGGCAGCTTGAGGTATCCAATTGTTCTTGTATCTGTGGCTTCTGTGAAAATGCATGAGGAAGGAGAAAGAATTTGAAAGGGAAAAGCCTTTTTTCTCTCTGACCCTTCTCTATGCTTATCCATTGGCTAAGACAGGTCTTGTGCATCCCACTCAAGAGGAAAGGGAATTCTGACTAAAGCCCGTTTAATCAGGCTGTGCAACTCCTGACAGCCCTGGACAGCTCCAGCATCCCCGGACAGCGCGGGGCAGAGCTGCAGCCGTGAGCCGCGCTGCGGGATGGGGGACACGGGGCTGACCCCTCCCAAGGGCCTCTGTAGGGCTGGCAGAGGATTCCTGCCAGGAGGTTGGGTTTTAGGGGCACTCTGGGGACACAAGGGGCCAAAAACACTCGTGGGACAGCCCCGTTGCCATCCCACAGCTTGAGCCAGCGTGCCCACATGGGCAAGGAGGCCAAAGGCATCCTGGATTGTATCAGAAGAGTGTGACCGGCAGGACCAGGGCAGTGGCTGTCCTTTGGTACTCACAAAGTGGTGCTGTTGTGACTCCTTTGGTCACATCCTCAACACTGTGTCCAGCGCTGTGTCCAGTTCTGGGCCCCTCAGTGCCAGAAGGACATTGAGGGGCTGGAATGTGTCCAGAGAAGGGCAACAGAGCTGGGGAAGGGACTGGAGCACCAGGAGCAGCTGAGGTTGCTGGGGGCGTTCAGAAAAAGAGATCCAAGGGGAATCTTATAGCTTTCTACAACTCCCTGAAAGGAGGTTGTAGCCAGGTGCGGGTCGGTCTTCCACGAAACCAGCGACAAGATGAGAGAAAATAGCCTTAAGCTGCGCCAGGGAGGTTTAGGCTGGAAATCAGGAAGTGTAACAGAGAAAGGCTGATTAGACGCTGGAACGGGCTGCCCCGGGAAGCGGCGGGGTCGCGGTCCCTGGAGGTGTTTGAGGGCAGCCCGGGCGCTGCCCTCAGCGCTGCCCTCAGCGCTGCCCTCAGCGCTGCCCTCAGCGCTGCCCTCAGCGCTGCCCTCAGCGCTGCCCTCAGCGCCGCCGCCGCTCCGGGGGCGCCCCGCGAGCGCGGCCCCACCGAGCCCGGGGCGGAGCTGCGCACGCGCCCCCTCGTGCGGCCCCGCCCCCACGGCGGGCGGCGCTGTCCGGGCGCGCGCAGGAAGATGGAGGCGGCGGTGCGGGAGCGCCGGGCGCGCCGGGCGGCGGGCGCGGGGCGGTAGCGGCTCCCGGCCGCCCTCCCTCTCTCCCTTCCTTCGCTCCCGCCCCCTCCGCTACTCCAGCGGCGGGAGAGGCGGCCCGCCTGCCCCCCTCGCGCAGGGCATGGCGGCCCCGGGCCCTCCGCGGCTGCCCCGGCTGCGGCTGGGCCCGCGGCTGCGGGCCGGGCTGGAGGTCGCGCTGCGGGTGCCGAGCCTGTTCCTCATCGACGCCATCTTCAACTCGGCCCCGCTGCCGGGCGGCTCCGTGAGCGCCGCGCTGCTGGGCGCGCTGCTGCGGCTGCTGGGTGAGACACCTTCCCTTCCTCCGCTCCCGAGGGACGCGGACCGAGCCCCGCCGGGGCCGCCGCTGCTCCCCGCCCCTCGCCCGCCTCCCGGCTGCTGCTGCTGCTGCCGCGGCCCGTCTCTCCCGTCCCTGATTCCCATTCCCGTCCCCACCGGCTCCTCTGCCGCCGCCGAACCCCTGCTCGGCCGCCCGGGCTGGATCATCGCCTCGCCCCCTCGTGCCCCGCTCCGGGCCGGTTCACTCCCCGATCTGTCTCCCGGCTCCTTCCGCCGCCTCCTGCCCCCGTAGCGGTGCAAGGACCCGGCTCGGGGCTGTGATTGACCCTCTCCTCCTACTCGGGGGGAGAAGACATGTGGCTTAGTGGGTATAGGGTTCTCATGTGGTTTTTAAAAAACCCTTTGGATAGCGTGATGTCTTCCTGAAATACGCAGTTGAAGCCTTATTTTAGAACCAGCAGTTCAGAAGTGCCGGGAATTTGGTTCCCAGAGGAAAGAGAAGCCTCTTGAAACTCCTCAACGGTTATTTTCTAGCCTTTTTTTTAAATGAAAATCAGTGGTATAACTAGGTGATACTGTTTCCAATATAGGGTTCTTACATAGCTTAGGCTCGGTGGGAGTCCCGTTCAGTCAACTGCTGTAGCGGTGCTACTGTGCTGTGTATCACGTTTTGGAGCTGGCGATCCTAAGGCAGGAAGGAGAACACAAAACAAATCAAGTTGTTGTTTTGGCTTTATTTATTTTTTTTGTTTTGTTTTTTGGGGTTTTTTTGTTTGTTTGTTTTGTTGGGTTTTTTTTTTTGTTTGGTTGGTTTTTTTTTTGTTTTTTTTTTGCAGGCCCGCGAGGGATGGATTTTATCTGACATTTATAGTTGAAGAAAAACAGGAAGGAAATAGGCGGTACAGCTTTTGGGTCAGGAAGCAGAAAAGAGAGGGTTAAAGGAAATGTGCATAGTGAGGAGTGTGTGATGGCATAACACAAGTTGACGACAGAGGGGGAAAAAGTAAAACATAACCTAGAGCAAGATAGCAGGTGAGAGGAGAGCAAAGGGAGGAGGTAACAAAACGCAGCAGGTGTTTTATTTTGGTTTTTAACATTTATTATATTTTTATGTTTATTATTATTGCTTTGGCTAAGGGTGCCAGGGGAAGTCTGTGCTCACATGAGAAGTGATGCTGAGGAGGCTCTACATTGCCTGCCATGCCAGGGGTGTGAGGTGCTCCAGGAAGGGAAGCAGGGGTTCTTCCTCCCTTCTTACCATTTTCTTGACCTTTTGTTCAACACTTAGGGAATTGCTAAGAGTGATAATTCCTTTTTTTAAAACAATAACTTTGTAGTGCCTCACCAATTTCATTTTAGGAGTCTTTCATCATATGATCCAGGGGCTGTCTAAATTAAACCTACCTGTGTAAATGAGTGGTGGATATCTTGTTCAATGTCCCTTAAGTGTGTGGTACTGGTTAAGTACTTAACAGATAAAGCCACTTTTTTGAGGTTTGCATTTATATGAACACTTTTCTGGAAGGGGTTGGGTGAAGAAGTGCCTTTTGCCTTCTACAAAAAAGCTTTGGGAATGTTTTATGCCAAAAAACTTACCCTGAACATTTAGAAAACGGGTATGTGGTTCTTGGTTTTCCAAAATTGAAGATTAAAACATAGGCACCTAAAGATGATCTTAAACACCTTCCATGTGGTTCAGACTTTTGAATCTGTTTTTTTCTCATTTGAATTTAAGGATTACAGGGTTGGGTTTTTGCTGCTGTTTGGAAAGTGATATTATTTTGGATCATTTTGTATTTAAATAGTGAGAAAATATAATTTTACTTACCATTTGCAGACTTTGAAGTACTGATCCAAACTTTTCCTATAGCACAATAGCACAGGATAAACAGACAACCTGTCCACCAGACACAAACATTGAAGCTCTGGAGAGATTGATGATTTTTGGAGGTGATGTTAAACAGTTTTGAAATATTCTGGGAGTACAGTTCATCAGGAATGCTAATACAGATCTGCGTGGGTGTTACAAAGTTTTACAGCAGGATTCCTTGGTCTGATTCTTCCATCACTTTCTACGCAAGTAAATAGAGTTATATATGGCAGAGAACCAACTTCCACAGCTGGAGCACGTTTTCTTTCCTGTTTTTGGTTAACCTTGCTTTGTTCCCAACACAACGTTTGCCTTTCGTATCTTTGCACTGGATTTAAGTATCTCAATTGCAGCAGAACCACCACCCCCAGGAGTTGTGGCTGTCACCTCAGACAGCAGTCCCTCCTCAGTGAGGACACTGAGTTTTCAGAAGGGTACTATAAATACTTGAGTCTGCAGAAAGATGTGGAGCTAGAGAAAAATAGTTTGGCAGTTCCACATGAATGAAGTGCTGATGTGTAAAAGTGATTGTCCCCTGCACGTGACTGAAAGTAGTGGACTGCTATGAAGATACTGACAGCTTTCAGGATTTAAAGGAAAAATATGAGACAGAGACATTAATTGTAAAACAATAAATTATTTTAAAAGTAAGTGTAGTGTAGTTTGGTTCAGTGCTGTTTTGGAGGCCGTACTGGGACAGTTGGCAATGGGGTGGCACAGGCAGAAATAGTAAAGATGAGTAGAGAGACAAACCTTATCAATGGAGGAACCTCAGCATTTCCTAGCAGAGGGAAAATGGAAAAAGGCTTGCTGTTTTGAAGGGCAAACAGGGATGGGCACAGGGCAGAGCAAAGTCTTATGTTGAGATGGACTAAGTGACATAAATGGAGATGGGGGGAAAGGAGTGCTCACTGTCCCTTCTGAGATCTGTTACCTCTTAGGGTCTTTTGAGTCTCCTTAAGTGAGTCTTGACTTTTCCTCATATGTATTAACAGAGACACGCTGTACTTTTTGTTAGTGCCTCTTCAGAGGAACCAGTAGGACAAGCTCTATTGACTCACTGTTGTACTGTTTTTAGAGATGTGTCTTGCATGTGAAACGTCAGTGTTTTAAGATGACCTGCAGTATCTAAATACAGTCCTGTTACTGCCACTGCAAGGCACAAAAATAGGTTTTGTTAAGGCGTGTTTCAGAGCAGCCTGCTTACTGCAAAATGCATCTCCTTTGGCTCAAATGATCAGAATTACATAAATAATGACCTTGTACAGGCATGTGAGCCTTTTCTGTGACTTCTGAGAAAAGACAAAGGCTACAAACTTGTCAGCAGTATTGGCTTTCCTAAACTTGTTTGTAGTGGTTAAAAATGACATGGCAACTGTCAAGCTTATTTTGTAGAAAATGCTGCATGTAACTAATATTCAGCTTTTCCTGGACTGAGCTACAATGCAGGGGGCTTTCTGAAAACTGATAGATGCTTTTCCTCAGTCCACTTCACAAGGTTACGAGGTTAATGATTAATTAAGGAGACTGTGTTTATATCAGCCAGTGGTGCTGGCAAGGAATATTGTTCAGGCATAGTCATAACTTTATTTGTAGTCTTCCTTTTGCAGTTGATTCGTGTTGATCCTCTCCCTTCTTCTCAATCCTCCAGGATCCGAAGGTGGTTTTTTTTGGGGGGCAGTTTGTATATCTGTGTGTGTTTGGTTGTTGTTGTTTTTATACAAGCAGTGGTTGCACTATTGGAAGAATCAAATGCTATTTTAAAGATTTTATTCTCATGATCAAGAGGCTATGGCTTAATTTTTTTTTTAAACACTTGTTTATGGTGGCTTTAGAACAGCCTAAACTACAATTGTCAGAAAAGACTGATGCTATCCTCCAGTAGAAAGAGGATTACTCGTGATTTCATTTGTTTTAGTAAAGAGATTGAAAGTAACTTAGAATCAAATATCAGTTGTAGAGATCAAAATCTCTCCAGACTGGTTTGGATGAGAAAGCAGTTGCATTGACTGGAATCTGATGTCCAAAAAAAAGGCAATGTGTTCCTGAATAAGAAACTGTTTAAGGAAATTAATCTAGTGCTAAGTACCATTTAATTTAACACCTCTTAGGGCAGAGCCCTTACCTATGGAGTGCAGAGTGATGGAATTAATAAATTACAGAAGTTTACTGCAAGGACATGTAACCCCGAACTCCCAATACTGCAGTTGCTCTGATAGGATTTCTCAAAGGAAGGTGCAGACTTCCCAGGCATGGTCAAGATGTGGTCATGGTCAATATGAGGGAGAGGTTAGCAAACAGGATTTTCAAGGCCTAAATCTGACTTCTAACAAGACAGACAAGTTTTCACTGGCATTGGCACAGAGGCAATTAATGCAGTTTTGGATCCTGTGCACAAAAGCTGTATACTGTGGAAGGTCTTCCTCATGTGACCTTTGTCACCACTCTCACCAGAAATAAAGGCAAAGTGAAGGGAAATAAACAGCAAACAACGGCAATTTTTCACAATTTTCCCATAAAAGAGTTTAACTAAAAGGTTTTGGTTACTTTAGTACTCCAGCTTGGACAGCTGTAGCTGAGTGCCTTGCTCAAGTGAATTAGGGGACTTATAAATCTTACTCATTTATTCATTATTAGTTTTGCTTATAAAGGACATGCTTTATCTGTTGGGGATTTTTTTTGTTTATTTTTAGAATTTGTCTACCCTTGGATTTCAGGATTAAGGCTGAAACGCTGGGAGTTGTCACTATTCTAGTCTAAAACTGCAACAAACTTCATAATAATTTTGATTTTAGGGCTTGCCGTGGCTTTGCATCACAGCTGTAATGCACAGATGTTAAATACAGAGATTAACTTGTCCTCTTGCCTGTTCTCTAAAAAGGGCACCACTGGTAATGCAAAGTTACAAGTGACTAATGGGAAAGCGATACATTAAATAAATGTAGCTCCAGAGCTAGTAAGTTAAAATCTGTTGTTGAACGTCTATTGAGAACTAAATTATTTCAATCTGGTTTTAGGTGTCTTTGTATCCAGCGTTGTTCTGGTCTTACAACAGCGAGCACTTTTCAAGTTCTACATGATTGCCTCAGCGTTTCTGCTGGCTGCAACTTCAGTGTTGGTGAATTACTATGCTGCTTTGCACATAAACTTCTACAGTGCCTACAACACAGCTGCATTTGGAATTCAGATTTTCCCACATAAAGGACCTTCACTATGGATGGCACTTTCCATCCTTCAGCTTACCTTTGGAATTGGATATGTTACATTGCTAAACATGCAGTCCATATACTCTCAACTCATCATCCTGGATATACTGATTCCTGTAATTGGCTTAGTCGTTGAATTACCTTTAAATGTCCGGCAAGTACTTGTTTTTATTTCAGGCCTAGTTCTGACACTAAATACCACGGCCATTTTAGCTACAAAAATTAAGTGGTTCTATTATTCGGTACGATACGTTTATCTGCTGGTGAGGCACATGTATCGTATTTATGGATTACAGCTATTGATGGAAGATACGTGGAAAAGGATTCAGTTTCCAGCTGTACTGCGTGTCTTTTGGCTAACAAGACTTACAGCACAAGCTGTGGTATTAACTTATGTAGTAAAGATGGCTGAAAACAACACGGAAGAAAAATTCTTCTTGATATCATGGGATAACTGTTGGGAAGTGATCTGCAGCCTGATCATAAGTGGGTGTGACTCTACTTTAACTGTATTGGGCATGAGTGCCGTCATTTCCTCAATAGCGCATTATTTGGGACTTGGTATCCTGGCCTTCATTGGGTCAACTGATGAGGATGACAAAAGGCTTGGGTTTGTAGCACCCGTCTTGTTTTTTATTTTGGCTCTGCAGACTGGTTTAAGTGGACTGAAACCAGAGGAACGATTAGTTCGCCTGAGTCGAAACATGTGCCTTTTGTTGACCGCAGTCCTGCATTTTATCCATGGAATGACAGACCCCGTGCTGATGTCTCTCAGTGCCTCCCACGTGTCATCGTTCCGCAGACACTTTCCTGTACTGTTTGTCTCCGCTTGCCTTTTCATTCTTCCAGTTCTGCTCAGTTACATCCTCTGGCACCACTATGCACTAAATACTTGGCTTTTTGCAGTCACAGCGTTCTGTGTAGAGCTTTGCCTAAAAGTAATCGTTTCTATCACTGTTTATATATTGTTTATGATTGACGGCTACTATAATGTGCTATGGGAAAAACTTGATGATTATGTCTATTATGTTCGCTCAACTGGCAATATTATTGAGTTTATATTTGGAGTAATCATGTTTGGAAATGGAGCTTACACAATGGTATTTGAATCAGGAAGCAAAATTCGTGCTTGCATGATGTGTCTGCACGCATACTTCAACATCTACCTGCAAGCCAAGAATGGCTGGAAGACTTTTATAAACCGCCGCACTGCTGTGAAGAAAATCAACTCGCTTCCAGAGGTAAAAGGAGCTCGGTTACATGAAATTGATGATGTCTGTGCAATCTGCTACCACGAGTTCACCACCTCTGCGCGCATTACTCCGTGCAACCATTATTTCCATGCACTTTGTCTTCGGAAGTGGCTGTACATTCAGGACACATGCCCAATGTGCCATCAGAAAGTGTATATTGAGGACAAAGAAAATGCCAATATCTCTAACAACAACGGGTTTGTAGCACCAAATGAAAATCCTGTACGGGTTGCAGAAGAAGCTGCTGATGCTGAAAATGAATTAAATGAAGATAATGACAGTTCTGATAGTGATGAGGAAGATGGCGACTGTGTGGCACAGCACTTGAATGAGACTCTTAATGTTGACTCTAACTCCCTTGGTGATTAAGATGTCTTTTACTAAGCCGTGAGGTATTTGTTCAAGATTGACTCCAACGGAATAAAAGTATCACTTTGTAGTTATTGTACTTAAGCACAACAGCAGTATCTCAATGTTGAGTCTGTGAATGGTGGTTGTTTACTGTGGTGTGTGCTACTGTAAATATACCTCTAATTTTTGCTGGTCTCTTTCATGACCACCTTAAAATTATGTACATTATTGTACATGGAATAAAATGTTTTCACGTTTTTAAGTTGGTTGGAAAAACACTCTTTAATTGATGTAGTGATGATGCTGTGCCAAAGACTGTATACCAGTAATCCCCAATCAATTTCTTCTGGATGCAAATGAAAAATACTGGTGAAAATAGACTGTTCAGCCGGTCAACTCGGAAATGAAAGCCTGAGCCAAAGCAGCTTTACTTAAAATTCAGTATTAGCAGAGCTTTATCGCAAAAAAATAGTGAGTTGTATTTAAAAAAAAAATAACAAAAATTTAGGTTGGTAGACTTAATGCTATAGCATTTGCGTATGTGGAACAAAAGGCGACACTGCTCAGCTTTCTGGTGAAGCAGCAAAGTGCATGCCATGGATGTGCCCGGTCCTCCTGAACTGCCAGCAGTAGCTTGAAGTACTTTACATGTGAATGAAGCAGCCTGGTGCTCATCCTGTGCCTCCACTGCTAACTGGAGTTACAGGCATGGCCTGGCCTCGAAGTCGATCCTGAATCTTGAGGAAAGGGGAACAGGGCTGAGAAACTGCACAAATGCAGAACACCTTTTCAAAAGCAGTTTTAATCTTGTAACATAAAAAACCCCAAACCCACTACATATTGGCTTCCATTGATTAGAACTTGCAGGAATGATGATTTTAAGTTTTTGCAATATATTTACTGAAGTTAAACTGAATAAATGTAAGAAAAACAACTTTACATATTTGGAAAGAAGACTTTAATGGTGTTGTTATATAGAGTATTGGCCAACTCAAGTGGGTCATCTTCTCTTACTGCCGCCATTATTTCCAGTATTTGACTAAAAAAGAAAGATTTATATTAGAAGACTGAAACCCAGGACTTCAGAATGTACTTCAGATTGCTGCATGTGTATGTACAACTCACTAAGATTAAGCTGGAATAAAAACCTACACTAAGAGCAATAGGGCAGGGTGCTCAGATATGCAAATAGCTTCACTTTTAAGTAACTGCCATTTCCTTTACACTGAACACTGGTTTGCTTACTGGTACAGATTCATCTTCGGTCTTTTGACTCTTGTTTGGAGGTAATTAAACAGCTTTCTGTTTTGAAGGAAGTGTCATTTTGTGGGTGTCTTTATCAATGACCTTCATTTTTCAAACACAAATTCATTAGCCTGTCAAGGCTAAAGCTGCACTATGAACAGACTGGTCTATGGTAAATTTTAAATTCCAGATACAGCTTTATCAGAGCACAGTGCTGCCAAAGTAACTTACTCCTCCTTCCCCATTCTTTAGCTTAATTGTGATTAATGTGACCAGGTATTTGCAGCAAATATTAAATAAGCAATTGCAAAAGGCTCAGGATCTTGATACAAGCCAAGAAGAGGATGAATATACCAAAGCACGGCATTTGTGTCATGATCCTGAGTGCATTTGTACACTCTGCATCTGTGCAGAACAGACTGTGCATTTTGAGTTTGGGGGTTTCTGAAACATTTCTGTAAACTAGAACTAAGGCAGCAGACAAATATGTGGGGTTGTTTTTGACATACAAGCTGGTTGAAATAGTAACAGTAGAGGCCCTTCACTTGTGATTAGAAGAGTGTTTTCTATTGATCTCTTCCCCCACTCCAAAATCATGAACTGACCCTAGAAAGTCTTACAATACTGAAGCAACCCTTCTGTGCTAATGTGTCCTCTTCCCTTTAAAAATGAAAAAAAAAATTCAACAAGTATTACTATTGACCTAATTACATTAAGTATATCTGAACACTAGAAGATGTCACCATGTAAGCTTAAACTGTGCTTTTACATCATCAGTGGTTTTCCAAGTTCCTTCATGTCTCAAAAAGCATCAGAATTCCCTTCACTTCTCAAATAAATTCTTGTTTAGACACCTTGCTGCATACCTGGATCTTTAGTACTGTCCTGAGCAGTATTTCAAAATCTAGACAGAGAATTCTGAAAACTCAGTATTTCATCTATTAATGGTATTTAATGCAGATAACTAAACATTTTCACTAAAACAATCACTCATTTTCCTGCTTTTCAAACTTCTGTGAGGAACTGTGTGGAAAGGGGGCAGAAAGCAGGGGCTGTGCTTCTGTTCATAAGCAATTCTGTTCATAAGCCCCTGGAGTTTTCTTTCACCACTCTGTATCTTGGCTGCTGTCATTCATATCTAAATTTCACAGGATCAGATTCTTTGAAGCACAACAACAGAAGGAAGAAACATCCCTGACAAAATACATGTTGTGGCAGTTCATGTCACAGGCCTGTGACAGCAGCAGCCTGTGCCTCAGCACTGTCCCACCCGTGGGACTGTCCCCCAATCCCCAGGACTGGAGTTTTAAAAACTACCTGAACAACAAGTGAGTGAAATGAATATTCAAGTCAGAGGACTTATTTCAGAGGGTTTAACCTCTTCTACAGTGCATCAAGTGAAACAATGAAAACAGTACTGGTTTCACTTTCAGGGAGCATTGTACATCCAGAATAGCTGAAGTAGGAAAATTAAGATTTCTAATTTTTTTCCACAGCCTATAAAGCAAAACTTTGCACAAGTTTCAGTACATTTAGAATTAATTTCTACATTACTAATGAACTGGGATTTTTCTATTTTTTCAAGTCAGAGTTGAAGTATTTAAAATAAGTGTGCAGTGGTACACTTACATTATATGGCAGGGTTCATTTCTGTCCTTCAAGCAGTGCCCTTTTTCCCATTTCTTTTTTGTAGGAAATGTAGTTTTAATGTATTTTGATCCAGCATGAGTATTTTTCACTCCACACCAAGGTGCATCTAGTTTAATTTGAATAAAAGAATTAGGAGTGCAATTGTTTCAGAATAGTATGAGGTAGTTTAATCAACTACTTCTACAGACAAAAGTTCCTACAATCTCCTTCCAGCAACGACCTCCAGTTCAAAAGGAAATTTAAGAGATCTGGGCAATTTAACATCTTGGATTTTTATACCATTATCTTCAAGATTTTACACTTGCAAAAATCAGCAATAATAATACATAACGCTAATTTCCTCTGACATGATAAGAGAGCCAGATACAGTGCATGCATTCCACAGAAACTTCCTGCATAATAGGTCTGTACTTCACGTGCAAATATATTTAAGGTTTTAGCAGTTTGCGATTTTCCTTTCTCAAGAGTCAGAAATTAAAATAAATACTGTATTTGTAACTGTCAGTTACTGATAAATGAATATGAAAAAACAAAACATGACATCCCAAGTCAGTCCATTAAAATGACTGCTAAGGGGAATTCAAGCATTCTTCCACCTATTCCTTTTAAAGAGCAGTTGTTTCCAAATGCCATTACTGCTGCCAGTGGCTAACTCATAGCCATTGCCCTGTGCTTGGCACATCTCCAGCAGGCTACATTTTAAAAGATACTTAAGCAGGATTCTGGTACATTTGAAAATCCAAGTTGTCAATTTGTCCTTTTCATCTTCCCCTGCAATGTCAGGAACTGACACAGCAGCTTATTCCTTCCAGCAGAAGACTGGAAAGGAGTAGTTCTGTAAACTGCTTTCTCAAGTAAAGAAAACAGGCACCGTTCTGACTTCTTTAGGTCTTGATTCTGCTTTCTGATTGCTACACCATATCTCATTGCCAATTGTCACAATCTGACCAAGATATAAAATCTTACCAGTCTCTATCATTAATCGTTCACTAGGAATTGATTTCAGTGTTTCCAAGTTGGCTTCTGTTTTCAGTGAACTAGAAAATTTAGAGTTTGGTTAAAAAAAAACCAAAAAACATAAAAAGCATATAAAAGTAATTACTGTGCCTATTAAAGTGTTTTGTAGCAAAGTCAGCTTCCTAAATAATTTTGTTCATTAATAAAATTTGCTTCCTTTTTAACAATACTGCCTGCAAATTAAAACTCTGAAGAAAACAGGAAATTTAAAGTTAGTGGGAGAAGCCATCTCACCCCAGCAAGCTGCAGAACCCCTTTGGCTGCCCTTGCTTGCCTGGTGACAGCCTCTGTACATTACAAACTGGTGCTGGCTGGCACTTGGCCAGGTGACTGCTGAGAATCCAAACTGCATAACCAGGAGATGAGGCACTCAGGTTACATTTGCATTACTCCAGCATTTGACAAGCAGCTTAAAGTCAGGCTGTTTTTAAATGCTTCTCAGAAGGAATCTTTCCATGTTCAACAACCTCATTTAATTACAAACAAGGATTGTCCTGAGGGCAGTAGAGTGGACGCTCACTGAGCTGCATGGCAAGAGCTTTGATGGCTAACAGACTAATGTGGGCAATTCTAAATCTGTCAGATGATTAAGGGTCTAGTGAGCTTTGCAAACTTGACCTCACTGTTTAAAAGAAAGCAATGAGTTCACTACAGCTGCCATTTTAAAGCAGCTGTATTTCTTGTAAAGAACTTACCAGCCATTTATTCCAATATAAAGATCCAAATCTATTAGAGCTGCTGCTTGTTCCTTTGTGCCATCAAAAGAATGTACCTAGAACACATATAAATACAGATAAACAGACATATAAAAATACAAATGGACTTTTATTAAAACTCCAATAATTCTAAAGTATGTATTACCTTTTATTAGCATCAAATACCTTCAATAATATGTTTTACTATTTAATTATATATTACATAATTAAAAACATCAAGATAGGACATGCTCAGTTGATTCTGAATTTGAGCAAAGTTCAGGCTGAAGTTTCCTGAATGCTGCACTAGAAGTGGTTACCACACTCTAACAGTGATAAATGTGTATAAAGGCCTATCCAGTGATACTCTTTTGGCCCTGGAACTCCCTGTAACTGCTAACTTGGAGATCATACTCAGGAAGTAATCCTGTGCATGCTGAATTTTTAGATTCTTTCCTCAGTATTCCCTTCAGGGCACTGTCAGGGCCACCATAAGAGCAGCATTCTGTTCTCCACAGATGTTAGTCCACTGGAACTAACAAGACAGTCCAGGGACTGGGTCATTCCAGAGTAATGCAGCTGGGAACTGCAACTTCTCAGCCTGAGTATAGTAAAGAGACTGTGTGCTCTGCTTCCCTGTGCTGTGACATGGACAGGCAGTTGCAGAAGATGCCTGCCCATTTCTCCCCTCTTTCCTGGCTGTGCAGAAAAAAAGAAAGGGAGGAAGGAAGGAGAGCCTTCATAGCATTACACAGGACATTACACATGCAAAGCACTGAGTGTGGGGAAAGGTTTTGTAGGAACAAAGGACAAACCTGGGGACTGCAATATTCTTGTAGGAGGTGTGGTCTCATGTTAGAATCATGAGCATTTATTACTTTTGAAAAATCCAGTCAAAATAGAAACCTGAAAAAGCATTGCTGGACTTCTTGTTTCACCCAAAGCTTTTCCTGTTAGACTTTTGAATTAAAAAATGTGATCTGAATATCTAAAGACATAAAGTAATCAAAAGTTCCATCTGCATCCAATTTGAAAACAATGTCTAATGTCAGAAGCAAATGTCTGAGGTTATGGCTTCCACTGGGAACATGCATCTAAATTATCTGTGGTCTGAATGCATTGCAGTTACAGACACTGAGGAATTGGGAAAAGGCCAATGTCAATTATGAGGTGCTTAAACTGTCCTGCAGGCAGGCCAAGAAAAACTGTTCACATCAGCTGCAGAGCTTTTTCTCAGCCTATTTTCTTACCTTGCAAAAATCCTGTTGAATAAGCAATGAAAATAAAAATAGTAAAAGGGACTGGAAAATTTACTAATTAATAACAGTTTAAATGATGTTAAAGAAGCCTACACAGATTCCATGACAAACAAGAAATTCCACATTAAGGAACAATATTCACACACATGCATGGAAAAATGAATGCTACACTGAAGTCCATACTTACCACCCCTCCTACAACTCTATCTCTGTTTCTTCTCATTATGTCTAAGAAATGAAATAAAAAAATAAAACAGCTTTATAACAGAAGAATATAGAAGATTTTTATATTCAGAATTTGCTCTAAATATGAAATTCTCAAACAAAACCCACCTAAAAATTCAGCATGTGAGTTTCTACAGTGTAGAAACATGGGCAGTTGCATCTGTTCTGACAAGTCAAATTGTTTTTCAAAATACCTGTAAAATAAATTCACTTTTAAAGAGAAATTCAGTGTAAGAACAAATAAATACAGTAAAATATTTTTTAATCCAAGCTTCTGTCCTCCAGAGCTAAAGACAGAATTAATGGATTTGCCATGCAAAAGATCTTATTTGTGCAAGGATTTAAAAGAATCTCTTTCCCATGTGTATTGCCACAGCTGTGATCTATGCTTGAAGACAGGTAAGTGGCCAAGAGCCTCAGTACTGCAGAATGTATATGTATATATGCTGAGCACATACTCTTGTGTAGTGTAGGTGCTGGAGTTAATTTTATTTATTTATTTATTTTTAATGGAAGAGGAAATGACTGTTTTTTCCACAAAGTTCTGAAATACCGGGAATGAGAGACTGAGGATGACACAGAGGTCACTATTTCAAGAAGCACTCATAAACACAATGAGGGTGAGCAGAGGGGCTACTGTGAGCACAGTGCTACTGTGCAGGCTTCTACAGCCTCCAGTGGCCAAATTGCATCAGAGCTGCTGACCTGAGTCATCCATGGAGGTGAGTCCCCTCTTGGGGTGGAACAAATATCAGATTAGACATCATCTGCCTACTGTCTTTACCTGTTTTCCTTCCCCTCCTCTGTGTTCCTGCATCCTTTCCTTTTCACTCCTTTTTATCCCTCTCCAACTTTGCATTCCTCAGAGCTGTTCTTGATGGGGCGGTAACAGGGAGGCCCCACCCCGTGAAGAGACACTGGAATGTGGGCAGAAGGAAGGTAAGGAGGTAGCCAGGTTCCCCAATGCAAATGCCAAAGGGAGCTACTAAGCACTGACTAACCTGTGCTTGTCATTAGCAGCCAGCTCTGCAATTACCATTCCACATCTCTGCTGCCCTGCTCCACCCAGGCAGGGAAATCACCCACGCTCAGGGAACACAGCAGAGGAACTTAAGCATGGCAGGAGGCCAGCAGTGCATGGGTGCCTCAGTGTTCTCACACTGTTTTGGGCAAAGGAGGACAACAACACTGCCCATCCCAGCAGGCTGGGGCTCTATGCACATACTGGAATTTTTGAGGTGTTGCTGTTAAAACACAGTCCAGGGCACCACGAAATTCCCACCATCAGTTATCAAACCCATTTCAGAGGGAATATGAGTCACTTATCAATCAGGGGAAAGTGGCAGCAAACCATTAGTTTGATTTATATTTTCCTAAAAAATCTAAACAAAAAAACTGAACCTAAACAAATATGCAACTGGTCTTTTAATGTAATGTCATTTTCACTATTTTCTGTATATTACAAGTTGGTATTTCTCATATCAAAGTTACCTGCCCTGTTAATCAGTGCAAATCTTTGAGATAAAACAGGTTAAACAAATCAGCTGTAACCTTGAAAATTGACATGAAAATTCATGAGAATGCATTACACCTACTTTGAATCTTCTTTGTCTAGATATCAGGCTTAGTTTATTTAGCTTGCTTGACTAAATATAAATTAATTGCAACTCATGATTGCTCTTGTGGTTAAATAGCTAAAATTGCTTGATTTTTTGGTGTCACGTTTTCTTTCAACAGAATACTTGTTTCATATGGGGAAAAGGTTTTAGAGACAGAACTGCAAGTAAGCTCCCTAAGTAACATACTGGCCAATTTCAACCTAATTTTGAGAAGGGTAGAGCCCTTGAAAGTACAAAGTTTAGTGCCCCTGCAAATGGAAATGTAACTCAAGCTTCTTCCATTCCTAGCAACAACAAAGCCCAACACATGTTGTTCCTTGGCCTGTCAAAGAGAAAGGGGAGGTGGATGGGGAAGATATTGAAGAGACAAAAATAACAATTAAAACCAAAAACTTTAAAAATCCCAAACCCTGGAAAAGCATGAAGAAACAAGACATACAGTGACTGGAATGATAAGAAAATAACTCAGTAGGAAACTAACCCTGATGAGTTCTAGTGCTTAAGGAACAACCTGCTCCTTTGAGCAAGCTTTGAGCAAGTTTTGACCATCACGTTCAAATGCTACAGGATCAAGACACTAAAGGAGATAAAGCAAACTGGCCTTGCTGAGGTAGATCTCCAGACAAACAATTCTGAATTAATTTGAATAATGGTGCATATAATATTGTGATTATACAGATGTATCCCAGTAGTACAGCAGATGTGACACTTCTATATCCTACCAGGGCATTTATAATACAGCTTTCATCATAATATGAAGGCAATACCTTCATCTTACTACCATTCAAATCATTGCTTTCTGTTGGAAAAGTTCCGAGAATGGGGAAGACTTTTGAAATAAAAAGGTTTTAGGGACACTATAGCAAAGAAAGGTCATCTTGATTAGATTCTTATTAACTTTTAAACTGAAAAAAATGGCAAAAATAATGTAGAAGTGAAAATAATCCAAAAGGAAACACAGCATAACTAACCAGAAGAATGTTGTTTAAGTACTAAATGAAACAGAGGTCATGCTCTGATATTTGCTGGGAAACAAACACACTGCTCTTCTGTGGGGGAACTGTGCAGCTGCGTGCCAGCCCTCCCTGTGACTGCTGCACCTGAACCCCTGAGCAGCTGAAAACCAGTGAACTGTCTCTCTGTATTTCACACTCTGCCTTCCTCTCTTTAGTTCACTGATCAGGCCTGTCATCTCTTTCCTTACAACTCAGTTTCAGTGCACCCAATTAGAAGTCACTACAGCTCTTCAGCTGCAGTCCACTGGACAAGGAAATGGGATTTATGTATCTTCTCTCTCTAACATCAAGCCAGTTAAAGATCTTAAAACCTGATACTCCATCAGTACTTAGTATGCCACAGAAAAAAAACAGATTATGCTCTAATGTGCTTTGCTGAACTTCATGTACACTGAATTCTACCAGGAAAAAAGTCCCGTTGCTTTTGCTGAGTATGTAATCATAGGTCTGTAGCATTAAGAAGAATCCTCCTACTGCTAACATGCAGCAATTAGAAAAAACACAACCAACCACTGCCCCCCAGTGACTCATTTACTCAAAACAGTAACATGCAAATGTAGTTTGTTAATCACTCATCTTATGTGAATTTATCACCTGTATCTTTCAATCAGTTCCCCCTGCAGAGAGAAGTTCTCAATAGAAGAATGCAGGCTGATTGTAGGGGCTGTGGTAGCTTCTTTCCATTCAGCATCTATGCTGCATGTGTTACTTCTCCACCTCTGAGATTACCTTTGCTATCAGCTCTCCATGATCTGCTCCCAGCTAACACCTTCCTTACTAAAAACTTTTTTACCCGCTGTTGACTTATGTTTGATAGTTCTGCTCCCTTCCTCATGCCTTTCACACAACAGCCCAATTCTTTCACACACTACATTTACGGTTTTTTTATTCCCGTAAGTCTCTTACAGCTCTTAACTATTAGCAAGAATTAACATCTCTCACACCCATAAATCCGCAATTTCTGGTCAGTTTTACAAAAAAAAAGACATGTTGACATAAGTCAACACCAGGGAGGTAGCAAAATTCAGCACATTGCACTACTTGAGTGTAGGCATATTTCTTTAAATTCCCATTTCTGCCAAAAAAACTCTGAGCCCAACCCTGCAAACTTTAGGGCTAGATGTGGCAGAACAGAAGATAGAAAACACTACTGTAAATTGCTACAAGTTAATTCACAGTCATCAAAAGTTTCTTACTTGAGTTGGATGTCCTTTGGGCAAAATTCTAATCTATCGAAATCTACAAACAGAAAGAACAAAAACCTCATTTAGTATTTTAGGATTTTTTTTTTTTTACTATATGTCTAGAAAAAAAAATATTGAAGTAATAAGAGAACACTTACCTAAGCCACATTCTCCAACTGCTATTACCTTTGTCCTATTTTTTTCAATCAGATTTTTTAATTCAGATAAATACTGTTCAGGGCTACTCTGCTCAAATTCTCCACAGCGAGTAGGATGACAACCGACTGTACTGAAAAACATGTCTAAAGCAAGAGAATATGAGGAGGTTTTAAGAAAAAAAAAAAAAAAAAAAAAAAAAAAAGAAAATTTATTTAAGGTATAGACAATATCTGCCTCCAGAGGGTTTTTTTTTATTGGTCACAATTTTAAATGAAAACTCCCTTTGACCATATTTAACTCAGTGATAATTTCATTAGACAGACATTTTCTGCCTTAAAACTGTCGGACAGTATCTCCAGTGGGGGCATGTGCACGTGTCTTCTTTTAGTACACATTATTTAATGTACTCCAAAACTGCAGCTTAGAGCTGAACTGTTCTGGTGGAGCAGCCCCCAATAAATCATACACTTGTTGAGGCTGGATGAGACCTCTTGAGATCATTTAGAAATGCATCTTGTTCAAAGTGCATCAGGTTATCCCAGCTGTAAGAACCGCAGAGAGCATTTCCCTCACGTCCCCTGCATAAGCTGTTAGAGAATTCCAGAGTTCACATCTGCCTGATTTACCCAAGTATCTGATCTAGATTACCATGCCAACACTAACATTTCTGCTAAGTGTAAAAGCACTGGGGAAGGGAAAAATACAGGTAAGGCCTTGAGCAACTTGCCCTAATGTTCAAACCAGCCCTGCCTGAGTGAGGTGGTGGACTGGGTTGGAACAAATTATCTCCTTGAGTTCATTCAAACCAAAATTATTTTAGGTTTCTGCTAGTAAACAGTACTTTATCATGTGTTTTAATTCAAATACATATTTAAGTAATTAGTGGAATTAAATCTTCCTTAAAAAAAGAAAAAAAAAAAAGAAGAGCCATTCTCCTTTCACAGAAAGAAAGAAAAAGCCAGAGGAATGACCAAAAAAAAGATACCTCTCTTGATCAAGTTGGTCATAAGAGATTGGTAAATAAAAAACAAACAAAAAGCCAACAAACCCCATATATTTCACAACATGTAAGCACTTTATCTTATTTCTAGAACAGAAACTTGCATCAATATTTTTATTCCAGAAATTTTCTACAATTTCAATTTTTCTTTAGAAATTGAACATGCAGGAAAAGAGTGATTCCTGTCAACATCAGGGATCTAAAGAGCAACACACAAACTCATACATAATGCATTCATCTCACTCTGAAATGTAATTTCATATTTTAATTTGAGATTCTGTAAACACCTCTGAGGCAGGTCCTTCTGAACTCAGAATTCTGAGAGCAGAGGAGGTTATATTGTTATATTTTTGACTGACAATGTAAAATTAAAGTTAAAATACCATTTGTCTGCGCCAGCTGCAATGCATCTTTACTATCTTCTAGACTCCCACCTGTAATCAAAAACTTGAAACAAGAAAAGCACTGTCAGTGAGCATGTTCTTTGAACATCAAACAGAATGTTTAAGAAAACACTCAGATACAAAGAAAGATCTCAACAGAGAACATCAGAATACAATTACTAATATACATATAACAAGATTTCATAAATCAGCAATAAACCTCAGTGGTCCTCAGGAGCTAGTAAATACAGTAGGCAGCAAAATATGATTTTTTTTCCCTTAATCAAGTATCTTGTATGCTAAGTATTTAAATCACTAAAGGGATAAAATATTTCAATTTGCAACAATATTAGCTTCCTCACACAATGACTGAAGATTGTATTTACACTCAAGAATTGATACTTAGAAATATTCTCCCTGTCTTACAGGTGGGGAAAGTACAGACTCCCAAAAATTCAAAACAAGACACGAGTAAGTAGTTAAACAAAAAAATGAGTCTGTATCAGAGCTGAGATTATAAATTTAACAATTTCCATCTCTGGTCTTTTATTTTACCTTGAAGTTATCACATGAGAATTGTTGCCGACAGTGTACTTTCTTAACCACCACTTGCAGAATATTCACCCTAGGTTGTAACAACCATGTCTACAGTGGTTTTGGACAACACTTCTCCCTGCAGGTGCTATCCAGCAGGCTCTGTCAGCACCAGCTTAGACATTCCCACATTCCCAGGGCACTCATGACACACAGACACATCCCAGCAACATCACTGAGAAATGTTACGCTGAAAATGGCTCAGTGCATACACAACACAAAGCAAAACTTCACAAAAAATTACCATAAAGCAGCAGCTATATAGAAAAATAAAAGTACTTTCTAATAAGCAGATTAAGGTTCAAGGCAAGCAGGAACAATCTGTGATTGAATAGGTTTCTGACACTGTACAGGCCACTAGCAAGACTGAGAACAGCTAAGGGCAGGAGCTCCTGAATAACATTTCTCAATCCACTGTGCATCTTGAGAAAGGTATGCAGCTAACCTATTTTTGATGACAAAAATTTTAAAAATGCCACTTATTTTCAGAGGATAGTATAGCACTTATACAGCACATATAAATGTGACCTCACTCCTGTATTTGCTGCAGTGAGATAAGCTCTCCATCACTAGTTTTCTTCTTTTGTCTCCCAGAGCATTTCCCACTCTTTTCAGATGAGAGTTTTACAACAAACTCCCAAGATGCCTGTTCTTCTGCTATAGGAGCATTTACTTCTTTATTTCTCATCTGGTAGCCTTAGTAGTGCAGTAGAACAGTTTGTGAGAGTATGCATTGTATTCTGTGGTAATTCATATTTTTGTCAAAAATTTATTCAGCTCAGAGAGAAAGAGAGACAGGCTAAACTATGGGATGTGATGCACTGCTAGAAACACCAATTTCAAGTTCTGAGTTACAAATGCTCTCATAATGATGTTGTTTTAATATATGTAAGCCAGTATTTACCAGCAAACATGCAATGTCTCAACTGTAAGAGTTTGTGGGCACTCCCAGCTCTTCTGCAGTTTACATATAGAAATATCTGAAAACCTCAGTCAGAATAGTTTGATCTTCAGCAGTAATTGTTGATCAAGAATCATAGAATCATTAAGGTCGGAAAAGACCTCCAAGATGACTGAGTTCCACCTCTGACTGATCACTGCCAACTAAACCATAGCACTGAGTGCCACATCCAGCTGTTTCTTGAACACTTCCATGGGAAGATGACCACCACTTCCCTGAGCAGCCTGTTCCAGAGCCTGACCACCCTTTCCATGAAGAAATTCTTTCTTGATGTCCAACCTCCCATAGCAGAGCCTGAGGTCATTTCCTCTTGTCCTGTCACTTCTTGCCTGGGAAAAGAGACTGACCCCCACTGGGTACAGCCTCCTTTCAGGAGTTGTACGTGATAAGATCTCCTCTGAGCCTCCTTTTCTGCAGGTTAAACAACTCTCAGCTCCCACAGCTGCTCTTCATTGGATTTACTCTCGAAGAGCCACACAGGATACAAGAAAAAATGAATGGTTGCCTATAATGCAACATGGAAAATTATGTACCACTTAATTGCAGCAGGCCAGAGGACAATATTTTTCTGTTGAAACTGTACAAAATAACTTCTACATCCACATCATCTACAATACCACTGAACTCCAATAATCAGCTCCAACAATGACCTGTGCAAACAGAAAGACCACGCTCTGCACAGAACACTTTAGTTTTGTGCTACTGAAGGAAGTTACTGCATTTTCCATTCGAGTCCCAGAAACATTTAGTGGGAGAGCACTAAAAAACCAAGTAGAAAGCAGCTTAAAATTTTAATGCCATTTCATTATAAGAAATTACCTTTTTAATGCCAACTTTGACTGCTCTCTCTATTACATCCAGAAAGTCATCTGCAAAAGTTCATAAAAATGTCATAAGTTGAACTTGAGGTTTTACAGTATAGTTTAACTACTTTTCAATTTTCATGCAGTCAAAATTATTATCATTAAATGTTTAAGCCATACTTAATTAATCTTTATAAGATAAAAACAAAGTGCAATAACTGGAGATCCAATTTAAATTCAAGAAGTCAGTGGAAGTTTTTCCACATACTTTAGAAGGCTCTCCACCTTTACATCTGCATCTAAAAGCCACAAGAGTAAAAAGCCCCACATTATAATTAGTAACCTTGATTCAGCAATGCAATACTATGACAGACCACTGTTCATAACTCTCATATCAGTTTTTCAATGCAATCCTAAATAGATTAGCAATTATCCATTTTGCTCCAGAAGCAGAGTTACCTGCACATAAAAAGCAATTATGACAATACATTTTGGTGAGAGTATCCAATGTCATTCGTCAGGCTTTCTTTTTTAAGCTCAAGTACATAAGAAGGAGAAGAAAGAGACCCTAACATAATGTTCTGACATGCAAGAGGTTTCTAACTCAGCAAAAGAGATCCTGCCTTCCAGCAGATACAAAGAAACATTTACCTTGATGTTTCTGTGTTCCCCTGTAGATTCCTCTGAACATAGGATCTGTCAGGTTAATACCAATATCTATGGAAAACCAAAGACAGAAGTTAGAAGTTATAGTTGTTCTGTATTTTACCTTGAGCATTAATCAGTGAGGGAAGACAATGGAAACCTCATCTAAACCCTGAACCAGCACATTGCTAAGTCATAAAATGTTTAAGCATAAGCTTACTTGCATAACTTGAAAACTTACTCCTTACTAGAAGAGACAGAAAAATTAAACTTTTGTCTCCATGAAACTTCAGACTTTTTGTGAGTGTATTATGCACACCTTCATAACCACCAAAGTGAATACACATATGCTTTATATTGCAAACAAATCTGCTTCTCAGATGAAAACACAAATTTATGCAGACAAGCATTAAGGAAGGGAAAATGAAGCATATTCCTAACAGCCTTCCACGGGTGGGAGCAGCAGCAGCAGAATGCCTCTTAAGAACTGCCTGTTCTCCTTCTAGTGCCATCCTTGGGCCATCTCAGCCACCCGGCAGCACCGACAGGGCACCGACAGGGCACTGACTGCAATGCAGGTACCGGCTGGAGCTGCCCAGCCCAGCCCAGCCCATCCCATCCCCATCCCCATCCCCATCCCCATCCCCATCCCCATCCCCATCCCCACCCCAACCCCATCCCAATCCCATCCCCATCCCAGCCCGCCCCGCTCGGCTCCCGGGGCCGCCCTGCGCCAAGGCCTAAAGCAGCGGCTCCAGGAGCAGCCGCCTCTGCAGCGCTTCCAGCGGGGATTCCAGCAGGAAGGGAAATTTTCCAGGGAAATATTAAGCTGCTCTGCGACAGAAGTTATTTACACGCTTTCCGTCGAATTGCCTAAAAATGCTTATATTTTCACCCAAGCCAGTTCCACACAACCAGAAACAACCACGATTAATGTGCAGTGCAGGACCGAAGGGCAGCCGAACCCGCAGGGCTGGGGGGACCCAGGAGCAGCAGCCCCGGTGCCCAGACACTGCACAAACATTCCCAAACGCTCCCGGGGCTCCAAGGCCGCCCAGCCTCGGGACACGAGAGGAACCGCAGGAGGCGACGAGCAGGGACTGGGGCAGGAAGTAACAAGCCCGGGCAGAGGGGCTAGGACAAGCCTAAGAGGCTGTAATAAGCCTGAGAGACTGAGGCAAACCCTGGGTAAGGGGCTGGAGCAGGAGGCATTGGCTGAAGGGCTGCGACAAGCCGTACCACAGCGCAGCCCAAAGCCCCGTCCGCTGCGCGGGGCCCCTCACGGAGCGGGGCAGGCTCGGAGCCCGGGCGAAGATCGGGGACAGACCCTCCGCCCCCCGCCGCCCCTCACGGAGCGGGGCAGGCTCGGAGCCCGGGTGAAGATCGGGGACAGACCCTCCGCCCCCCGCCGCCCCTCACGGAGCGGGGCAGGCTCGGAGCCCGGGTGAAGATCGGGGACAGACCCTCCGCCCCCCGCCGCCCCTCACCGATGAACCCGGCGCGGCTCATGGCGGCTCCGGGCGCTCGGCGGCAGCGCGGGCGGGGCCGCGCCGCTCTCCCGGCATGCGCCGCGCGGAGGGCAGGGGCGGCGGGGCCGGCGCCATGGCCGCGTTCCTGACGCACCAGCAGAAGGTGCTGCGGCTGTACAAGAAATCCCTGCGGCACCTCGAGTCCTGGTGCATCCATCGGTGAGGGCGAGGGGAGCTGGGAGTGGGCAGCGCTGGCCGCCCTCACATCGGGGCGCTCCGCCGGGCCCGGGGTGGGGGTGGCGTGGTTGTTTTCCTCCTCACTGTGCATGACCTCTGTCCGTAGAGACAAGTACCGCTATTTCGCCTGCCTCCTGAGGGAGCGATTCGATAAGAACAAGAATGTGAATGATATGGTGAAAGCCACCGAGCTGCTGAGGGCCGGCGAGGAGGAGTTCTGGGCCAACCAGCACCCGCAGCCCTATGTGTTCGCCGACTCGCCCGGCGGCATCGCCTACGAGCGGTACGAGCTGTACAAGGTGAGCGCCGGCGCTGCCCCCGGCAGCCGCACTGTGTGCCTGGCTCGGCTCGGCAGTGTCCCCTCAATGCTCCGGGACATCTGCTGTTTGTGAGGGAGGAGCTGCGCTGTGTGCCCGGCTCGGCTCGGCAGTGTCCCCTCAGTGCTCCGGGACTGCTGCTGTTTGTGAGGGAGGAGCTGCGCTGTGTGCCTGGCTCGGCTCGGCTGTGTCCCCTCAGTGCTCCGGGACTGCTGCTGCTGTTTGTGAGGGAGCAGCTGCGCTGTGTGCCTGGCTCGGCTCGGCAGTGTCCCCTCAGTGCTCGGGAACGTCTGGTGCTTGTGTGGGAGGGCTTTGAAAATGGAGATTCTTGATCAGTTTGAACGCCGCCACTTGTTCTTTCGGGATATTTTCCCGGTGATAATCTGCCAAGAGCAGTCCGCCGCTGGCGGGTCAGGCCGGCACAATGAAGAGCTGAGCTGGGGAAGTGAACAGCGCCGAGGGAGCTCTGCTGCCTCCCCAGCACAGCCGGGTTCCTCTGGTGAGGGCAGGTGTCACCTTGGTTGTCGGCGACTTCCATTCGCTCAGTCCTATAGTTCTTCCAGCATTTGAGTAATGGTACAAGTTCAATTTCCCTTCATATGCTGCAGTGCCAGATAATGCAGTTTGTGTGCTACTGTGTGAGAGCAGCACTGGCTGGAAATAGAAACCTTATGTTTAGGCTCTTTAAGGTACTTCTACAGGTATTGACTATCAAGATTGTTTTATTTAAGAGCAAAAGTTCCATAGAAAAACACAGGGACTTTGCGTCATTGGCATCATCTTTTTAAATACATTAGAAGTTAATACTAAGCTAGAGAGTGCCTGCACCTGTTTCTTCATGAATTTGAAAAAAGTGCTGGCACAAGATTGGATCTGGTCAGATCTTTTTGCATATTAAGTCACAGAAAAATAAAAATATTACATAGATTTATCAGGGACACAATAAAGAATATAAGAGTGAAAAGAGAAGGACTTGCTTAAACTTATGCCAAGGTCAAGGGCCTGAGCGGTAGTTGAGATAATAGTGACAGAGAATCTGGACAGAAAAAAGGCAGCTGAGCAATAAATGGTCAATAATAGTCTTCATACAGAAACACAGACTGGGTTAGGCTTTCTTTTCCCAGTTTGATGGTACTAAAACTGTCTTAAGAAAATTACTGTCACAAGGCTTTGGCTGGTTTGTGTATCAGTGACTGTCCATTGTGGATGCTGCTCCAAACTGTCATTTTAGAACTCAGGCTGATTGAATGGAAGTAACACAGCTGCTGAAGTAAATATCCACACACAGAGAACTCCAATTAAAACCACCAATCAGCCTGAGTCAAAGGTTTGTTCTGTGGTGAGAATCACAGCAGGAAAAGTGTGAATATCACTGAAACTATGATGGTACTGGAGCAACTTCTTTTTTTTTTTCAGTTGGGAGTTTTGGTGGGGTTTTGTTTTATATTCAGTGTTCCTCTTTTTAAAATGTAAACAATTAGGTTTTTTTAAATCACTGCAAAATTTTAAATTTTGTTTTTTTCCCTTGTCAGAAGGTCTTAGAGGTCAGACCATTCTCAAGATCTTAAAGGCCTATGAAACTGCTCATTTCTTAGTAGTTGTAGATAAGCAGAAATGAGCTGTAATGTTCTGTCTTCACCAAGTCAAATAAATCAGTAGTTGGAGAGAAGGATTCCTCTAACCTGCTGCCTTTGAGAGAAGGGAGGGAAGAAATCAAATTTTCTCCTCCACCAGATGGAATTATTTTGAGAAGTTTAGAGTAAACTGAGATAACCTGGGACTTGTTTTAGAATGCTGTGATTTAAGCATGTCACTGCGATGTCTTCCTGTGGGTCAGGATAATGTGTGAAAAGTTCTGACATCTGCCACGTGCCTTGAGATAGTCAGGCAGCTCTTAAATGGTGTTTTTATGTAGTACTTCAAAATAGGAAAAAAAACCCCCAGGGAGTAAGATTGGCTTCATTCAGCTTTTGTGTTTTATTCTTCTGCATGTGTGTACAAATGTGATTTCATAAATAAAAATAGTATTTTAAATAATATTTTCTTCAACAGATTCCTGAATGGGCCTTGGATTTCTGGCACCCTTCTGAGAAGGCAATGTATCCTGATTACTTTGCCAAACGAGAGCAGTGGAAGAAGCTGCAGCGGGAGAGCTGGGAAAGAGAGGTCAGTGCCTGCTCTGTACAAGGGAAAGTCTCTTTAGCACACAAGTATCCTGTACAAACAGATGTGTTCTTGGAAAAATTACTGAATGTCTACTGCAGTCTCAGTTAGACTCTTCAGTGCTGGAGCCCTTGTCAGTGTGAAACAACCCAAATGCCTGCACATTTATTACAGCTCCTGGAGGGTTGTGAAGGGAATTAGAAGTTAAAGCTGAACCTGCAGCCTTGTGTCAGTTAGTAAGAACTGTTACAGCAGTTTTGTGGGGGGAAAAAAAATCCAAAGTGGGATGAAAGGAGACTGACAATCAGAGAATTCCTCTGCTGCTGCTGTGGAGCTCTTGACAATTTCTGGTTACACTTTTGAAAGTGATTTGCTGCAGTGGTCATCAGTTGGGCAGTGAGACTAAATTCTGGCCATCCTGAGAGTTGATTGGAAGTTCTTGTTCTTAGAAGAGTTATTTGATTCAGTTGGATTGTATGGAACATGACACTTGTGCTGCTTCAAGAAATGGGTATTGAAAGCCTGCGAGGGGCTGCTGGTGATGTGCAGGAACAGAAGTCTCCTACTTACTGACTGCAGGGAAACTTGGTCCAGACTTAGAATCTCTCAGCTTCCAAGGCAGCACAATTCAGCCTGTTTGACAGAGTAATGGTAGACGTGAATTACATGGAAATAATGACCTTTTAAGTGAAATTTCTCTTGTAAAAATCACTTCTTGCTCCTAGAAATTCCTTCTTAATTAGATAGTATGAGCCTATAGTAATTACTGAGCGGAAGTTAAAGTTGGGAAGTGTGAAACCTTCAGCCAAAGATGTTTTGACTGGTTCTTCTCTGTGGAAATAGAGAAGCAGTGGTTCTTTGTTTTGCTCATTGCCTGGGCACTGAAAATGGGAATGTGTGTTAATGTGCTAAAGCAGTTCTGTGTCTCGTCTTCTAGATTAAGCAGTTACAAGAAGAAACTCCAGCTGATGGTCCGACAACTGAAGCTTTGCCTCCAGCTCGTAAGGAAGGGCATCTGCCCCCCATGTGGTGGCATCACGTCACTCGACCTCGTGAGCAGCCCATGTGAGAGCACCTTGGGTGTGAATGGCAGCAGTCTGTGCTGCGGGCAGTGGCACCTCTGTGACCACTTGTTCCTCAAAGTAATAGAATAAAGCCAAATAAAGTAACATAAAAGGTGTTTTTCTGGCGCACTGCTCTTCTCTAGCACACTGACACCTCACTGCCAGCTTGTGCAGGCAGTTCATTATCACCCCATAACTTGGAATGTGGTACTGAATACTGGCAAAGTGTTAAAGCTGGAATTAAAGATACAGCAGCAGACATGGGCTTTGGGTGCTCTTGTAATTAGGGTATTTCTGACCTTCTTATAGGACAAAGACATCTTTCCCTTCCTTGTCTCCTCCTTAGGTTCTTTGCTGCATTTTTCACTTCCGTACCAAATCTCACAAGACAAACTTTCCTTACAACATGGTGCTTTCCTCATGGCAGGGACAGCAGTGCTGTAGAGCACCAGAGGAAGGTAGATCCCCATATAAACTGAGCTGTATCAGTTAACACGTGTGGGCTGCTGAGGATTGTGGCTATTGTGTGCCCATTCATGGGTCACAAATGGTTCTGGCAGTGTGACACACTGAACTGGGGACGGAAAGCCCTTTGCTGCTGGCTGCATTCCCAGAACATTGGTATAAGACAGGGGAAATTCTGCTAACACTTTTCACTAACTGCCCTGTGAGAGAACAGATGTAATACAGCCACTGAGCAAAAGCTCAGGAAAATTTGGCCCTTAAGTGTTTTCCTGTTTTCAGGGCTAGGAGATTCAGGTTGCCTAATCTGACTTCCAAGAAGTTCCTTGACTGTGCCCCTGTTTAAGCCTAAGGCTTAATATTTCTGTGAACCCCAACTAAAGAAAAGATGGCAAAGTATGAACTTCAGCTCTTCTAAGAACTAAACATATGTAGCTCAGGAATAAGGCTTTAATCTGGTTGATTTTCAGAAACTTTTAATCTGCTCCTTTACAGTAAGTCTGCATGCTAAAATAGGTATGGATTTTAAAAATAAAACTCCAGAAAAAGAGCTTTACATATTCCACAGTTGAAATTTTCCTTCCTGCCAGGAAGCAGGCTCTGTTCTCTGTGCTCAGTTAGTCCAAAAGTAGTGATGTAATTGAGGTGTGCCCTCTTCCAGCACAGCTGTTCGGCACATGCCACACCTCAGGCTGGAGCTGTCTCTTGGAACAAGTGCCGTCAGTATTGAAACAGCTGAGCAAAGCACTGACACCTGAGTGAGACAAGATGCTCAGCAGTACTTCAAACACAGCCATAGAGAGAAGGGGGAATGAAACCATGATCCTTTTGGAGA